ACAAGTATAAAGCCAACAGTCGTGATAGTCTGTGGGTCAGACTATCACGACTGTTGGCTTTATACTTGTACCTATTATTTTTGGGAGGGCTTCTAATGTCCTGGCCCCACTGGTGGACCTCCTGATGGCACCTGGTATTCTTGGCCACTGTGTGACAGAGTGTTGCACTGGATGGGCCATTGGCCTGATCCAACATTGGCTTCCCTTGTGTTCTTATGTTCTTATATTTTAAAGTTCCGCCTGTGCTAAAACCTTCCCTCTGCATCAAAAAGGTGCATGACGGGAAGAAAGGTTCTCGGTGACATTTGCCAAGATATTCTAGTTTCCTCTGTGTGCCAAGACCTCTTGTGCACAGGAGCCTTCAAGCATCCGGTCTCTCTCTTCCAGCCTGAAGTGGTATAGTCCAGTGATAGATTTGCAACTTGAGGCTGCTGGTAATGTTATTGTTTGGTTCTGAAAGAGGAACCACAAGGAGAGCAAGCAGTTTTCTCCCCCTCCCTCCCAGGTAGAGCCAGTTTGGTGTAGTGGTTAAGTGTGCGGACTCTAATCTGGGAGAACCGGGTTTGATTCCCCACTCCTCCACTTTCAGCTGCTGATGTGACCTTGGGTCAGTCACAAACTCTGGCACAGCTGTCCTTGAAAAAGAGCAGTTTGTGTCAGAGTTCTCTCAGCCCCACCCACCTCACACGGTGTCTGTTGTGGGGAGGGGAAGGGAAAGGAGGTTGTAAGCCGCTCTGAGACTCCAAATGAAGGGCGGGGTATAAATCCAATCTCCTCCTCCTCCTCCTTCTCTTCCCCGCCTTGGACTGGCAGCAGCGGCTTGGGGGGGGGCAGGGCCCTTTAAGGGGCGTGCTTGTTGGGGAGTCCTCGTCCTTCTCCAGCACCAGGTTCCGGACTAGGTGATGCGAGAGCCGGTCCGGGTTCTAGGGAGGGCCCCGATCCTGGACACGGAACACTCTTTGTTGGAGGCTTTCCATGGGAGCAGGTTGCGCAGTTTGGTCCAGATCCTCCAAGGCCCCTTTTGACATGACTTTGGTAACCATCAGAAGGTGTGGATTATTTGGGATGATGCTCAGGCACAGCTGCTTTTCTGTGCTCTTCTGGAGAAGAGGGGCCATGTTGTACGCTCCTCCCACTTGGAATGGATCATCCTTTCTTAGTGGGAGGGCACAGCTGGTGGGGTTGCCAACTCCAAGCTGGGTGATTCCTGGAGATTGGGGGTGGTGCCAGGGGAGGGCAGGGTGTGGGGAGGGACCTCATTGGGGGTACAATGCGATAGATCTCAGCCTCCACAGCAGCTATTTCTTCCCCATGGGGGAATTGATCTCTGTCATCTGGAGATCAGTTGTAATTCTGGGCAATCTCCAGACCCCATCTGGAGGTTGGCAACCCTAGAGAGCCAGTTTGGTGTTATGGTTAAGAGCGGTGGGCTCCACATGACTCCTGCTGGGTGACCTTGGGTCAGTCACAAGTTCTCTCAGAGCTGTTCTCTCAAGAGCAGTTTTCGAGAGAGCTCTCTCAGCCCCACCTACCTCATAGGGTGCCTGTTGTGGGGGGGGGGAGGGAAAGGAGACCATAAGCCGCTCTGAGACTCCCAGTGAATAAATCCAACCTCCTCCTCCTCCTCTTCTTCTTCTTTTCCTCCTCCTCCTCTTCTTCTCCTCCTCCTCCTCTCCTCCTTCTCCTCTTCTCTTCCTCCTCTCCTCCTCCTCCTCTTCTTCTTCTTCTTCCTCCTCTTCCTCTTCTTCTTCTAAGGGGACCTATTCCCGTAGAAGCCTCTTCTCAGAAAAGTCTGCACACCAGCCGGAGAGCCAGCCCGGTCTTCTGTTGTTGCTATTTGTTACCGGAATGTTTGCTGATGCCTCGGGCTGTTGGTATAGATTTTTTTTTATAGCTTTGCCAGCATGGAAGCGAGAAGGGACAGTCACAAAGGAGCATGTGATGTCCTGGAACAAAAGAGGGAAGAAAGGACCAGCATTTTAGGTGCGGCACTGAGAGCTCTCTGTCAAGTGGTCGCCGTGGGGTTTTGTGGAGATAAGTGCTTTCACCTTGCCTCTTCATGGAGACAAAGGACGGCCAAGGAAGAGAAACTTGAATTGCTCTTGGGGGAGGCGGGAGGAAGAAAGTTAAACCACAAGGATCCCACAGCAGTGAAGTCTGGGATATTTCGCACAGACTCATCCCAAGGAGGGAATTTGGGCAGGCCAAAAACGATGATTCAGGTGGATGTGTCATGTCTAAAGGACTGCTTTTCCAGCAGCAGCTGGTTTAGAAGTTTTTGCAAGCAGGGGAAAACTGCAATGCTCTTTGGAGGTTGTCTTTCCTCAGTACTTACAGAAGAACAGAAGAGAAGCCATGTTGGATCAGGCCAGTGGCCCATCCAGTCCAGTACTTTGTGTCACACAGTGGGCAAAACCCAGGTGCCATCAGGAAGTCCACCAGCAGGGCCAGAACTCCAGAAGCCCTCCCACGGTTGCTCCCCAAACACCAAGGATACAGAGCGTCACTGCCCCAGACAGAGTGTTCCCTCTATACCTTGTGGCTACTAGCCACCGATGGAGCTCTGCTTCATCTGTTTATCCGATACGTTTAAGGAGTATACTGCTTTGGTACATGGAGGTTCCATGGAGGTATTCGAGCCAATATTTGTTTATGTGGTGCCTCAAAAGTTGTTGCCCTCTGTTTTAAAAGCGCAATAACACCAGGTAAAAGCAAATAAGAATTACAATGAAAATTTACTTTTCAGTGGTAAATACCAGATAACAGTGAAAGCAGCGTTCTAAACTGAGGGCACTGGAACCAGCAAAAATAATTATCTAGTAGTAAAAGGTTTGGAGGAGGGGGGAAAACCTTCATCTGGTGCCTGAAACTCAAAATATAAGTTGCCAGTTATTCTCCTCCCTGTACCTGTTTTTTTTCTGCTGGAAGAAACGGGAATGTAGGATGGGAATCTCAAAAGTGAGGTGCCACGACGGAAAAGGCCCTGTATCCAGTAGCCACCATCTCACTTCTGAAGATGAAGCCACACATAGCAGGCCCTGTGCTGAAGATCCCAACCATAGCTTCTTGAAAGCCTTGACTTTGGAGGGTCAGACTTAATGCCAGGGGATGGGAGTTTCAAAGTGTAAGGTTCATCTGACTCTCCACTAAATGTACTGCAGACAGTGTGGATTCCCACTCTAGGGGCCCTCTAGATCAGGGGTGTCGAACTCATTTGTTATGAGGGCCGGATCTGACATAAATGAGACCTTGTTGGCCCGGGCCATGTGTGTCATAAAATGTAATGCCAGGTAGCGGAGATATAAACTTTATAAAGGTCACAAACACAAAGGTTTTTTTTTACTTAAAATAAAAACATGCTTAAAACATTAGCACTCTTGCAATATTTTTTTTATTTAACAGTGTCTGATAACTGACACCTCTTGCTCTGAATGATTGCATCAAAATGTCTGTGCTGTTGCAATCTTGAGTATGCTGTTCAGGTGTGTATCTGTAAGCTGCAAACCTACAATGACGCAGCAGAACTGGAGGAAGTAGAAGACAGCCAGTTCCACTGCGAGCCTGATCTGGCCCCCGGGCTGCATGTTTGACACCCCTGCTCTAGATTATCTCAGAGCATGAGCAAGGGTGTACAGATAGAGTCTGTCCTTTCCTATGAAGAAAGGCTGAAGAGTCAGGGACATTTCAGTTTAGAAAAGAGATGACTGGGGGGGGCATGATAGTGGTTTATAAAATTATGCATGGGGTGGAAAGAGTTGACA